GAGGAGGCTCTCACCTGTTGCTGGGCAGGGCCTCGGAGGCGGCCGCGGCGCCGCTGCCGGCGGCTCCCGCCCGCGTGTTCACCTGCGGGCAGCGAGAGGAGCCGGTCAGAGCCTGCCCCAGGACACCCTGCTAATTAACCTGTAATTTGCCACGGGTTCCTCGTTTGCCTAGCAAGGTTAATTAGCTCGTTGCTAGGCACGGATGTAGGTTAGCAGGCTGAGCAATTCCGGGGCCGCGGCGCGCTCGGGGCTTAAACGGCGCGCTGGGAAAGGTGTAAATTCACAATTTATTCTCGTTTTAAACGCTCAAAAATCACTTAATGCCTTTATGGTCTTCTCCGTGTGGTTGCAGGAGCGGTAAGGAATCTAAAATCTAAAATAATTCCATTCCACAACTGGATAAATGACTGAAAGCACAGGAGGGAGGTGGGGGTTTAAAAGCTTTGAAGTAGTGGCAGACAGCAGTTGATAAATGAACTACTAAAATTTAAGAACGTGATTAGCAGAGGTGAAAAACAGAAAAAGGCAAACCCACTTTTAATAAAACCACATACACAAACATAGATATCACAGCCAACGCTTTGCAGATGAATCCTTCTCCCACCCTCGCCAAAGGAAAAAAAAAAAAAAAATCCAGAATAATAATAATAAAAAAAAAATCTGCTTGTCAGAGCTCAAGAAAGTGCAGTTTTATTTGACATTTCAATAAGTGGAACACAGCATTACAAATCCATCTAACTTTCCTGAAACAATTATTGAAATTCGTACCTTGAGGCCATGTATGTTCCGTTTCCCAGGAGGTTTGCAGGCTGAAACAGTAATTGACTAAATTGTAGAACACATCAGGGCCATTTACAAATTTGCTCAAAATGAATCTTTTCAAAAGAAATGAGGGTGACACCAAAATTAGCAGAGAGAAATGATTGAAAAGTGCCTGGCGAGACCCAGAGTGGGAATTACAGCCCAGGATTTTTAACTTGCAGGAGTGAGCATTTATAAATGCTAAGAGCTTCCTGACACTGTGTAATAGAAATTCTAATTTCTGCCCCAAACACAACAGAATCCAGAGAACCCTTGGCTCAAACCAGGGGATTTTTTTTTTTGGTAATTCAGATTCCAACCTCGTGGCGCTGTGTTTTCACATCCTGGGGGGGTTTTTAACCCCCTGGAATTTCACAGGGATGTTTGCAATCCAATATTTGGGGTTTTTAGGGAATTGGCTGCTTCAGGAATTGGTCATAATGGGGGAGAAATGGGGAGAAAAAAGGGGGAGAAAAAAGGGGGAGAAAAATGGGGGAGAAAAAATGGGGGAGAAAAATGGGGGAGAAAAATGGGGGAGAAACCCCAAACTTGGTGGGAGGAAAAACCATGGCAGGGGCAAAAGCAGAGCCTCCAAAAGATAAATACTGAATTAAAAATAAAAAAGTAAATATTGAATAAATAAAAGGTAAATATGGGGGAAACCACAGGGGAGACCTGGGGAAAAACAAATGGGAGGAAAAATAAACCTGGGGGGGAAAAACTCAAATCTGGGGGGGAAAACCCAAGCAGGGGCAACAGCAGAGCCTCCAAAAAGTTAATTCTGAATAAATAAAAGGGAAATACTGAATAAATAAAAGGTAAATACTGAATAAATAAAGGGTAAATATGGGGGGAAACCTGGGGGGAAAAACAAAGGGGAGAAACCACGGCAGGGGTAACAGCAGTGAGCCCCTCTGGTAAATAGTGAATAAATAAAAGGGAAATAGTGAATAAATAGAAGGGAAATACTGAATAAATGAAGGGAAATACGGAATAAATGAAGGGAAATACTGAATAAATAAAAGGAAATACTGAATAAATAAAGGGTAAATATGGGGGGAAACCTGGGGGGGGAAAAACAAAGGGGAAAAACCATGGCAGGGGTAACAGCAGTGAGCCCCTCTGGTAAATAGTGAATAAATAAAAGGGAAATACTGAATAAACAGAAGGGAAATACTGAATAAATGAAGGGAAATACTGAATAAATGCCACTGAAAATGTCATTTTTTGGGGACAGAGGTACAAAAGTGGCCCTTGCTGGCGGTGACTGGGCTCAGAGGGAGGAGGAAACATTTCCAGGATGTGTCCAGGGGACATTGCCACTCCTCCAGCCAGGAGAAGCTTCTGGAAGGTTTTTTGGGGCCAGGAGGGTCCCAGCCCCGTTAAAGGGGCTGTCACTGCTGAGTGATGGCAAAAATTGGATTTTTTTCCTTTCCTGACAGCAGGAAGCAGCAATGTTTCTGAGGCAGGAGGACACTGGTGATGGTTATTCAGCACAGCACCCGTGCCCTTCCCACAGCATCGAAAATCACCACGGGCATCCAAAGGGGGAAAAGATTACATCTTTAAAAAAAAATAAATAAATACACAACCCAAAATTATAAATTATAAATACACATCAACCCATTCTGGTCTTCCAATAGAGCAAAATTGGCATTTTGCACAAGGTATTCAATCAATAGTGATTTTTTTTATGGGGTGTGTTTGGATGCTGTGCTCACCTTGCATTCCACAAACACGATGTAAATAACGTGGGTAAAAGATAGAGATAAATAGATATAAATATCTATAAATACACAGAAATCTATATGTGTTTATAGATATTTACCTATATTTATATATAGAATTAAATACCTATATCTATATATAGATATACATAAATATCTATAAATATATAGATATTTATATATAAATATCTATAAATACACAGAAATATATATGTAGATATATATATGTAGAAATATATATGTAGATATATATACATAAATATATGTAGATATATAAAATATATGTAGATATATAAAAAATATATAGATATATATAAAAACACATGTAGATATATATAAAAACACATGTAGATCTATATAAAAACACATGTAGATATATAAAAATATATGTAGATATATATAAAAATATATGTATATATTAAAAATAGATCTATCAAAATTATAGATATATATTTCAAAATACATATATAGATGTATATATAAAAATACATAGCTATATATAAAAATATGTAGATCTATAAAATATATTAATTTGTACATAGAAATATATGTAGATATAAAAATATATTAATATATACATATATAAAAAATAGAGAGAGATACATATATATATATATATGTATGTATATATAGATGTGTGTACACATTTTTTAAATGTACAGCACATACAGATGTTTATTTTTAATATAAAATCCCCCTCTGGCTCTTACTAACTAAACAGCAATAATAAAATAATAAAAAAATAAGAGAAAACACCAATTGTTTTCCGCTTAAAGCTATTTTTATCATGAAATAAATAAAGCAGAGCCCAGGTAACACAGGTTGGCACGTGGAAATTTACTCCTGCCAGGATTTTTATGGAATACAGGAGTTTTTTGGGAGCAGGAACTGCGGGTCCCTCAGAAGTGAGAGAGGCAGGAAAGGAAAAGAACTCAAAGGATTTGCCAGGAAATCTCTTGAAAGGGAAAAAGTGGAAATTAAAGAGGCAGAAAAGCTGAAAGTGGCTTTCAAGTGGGGAATGTGGAGAGCCAGGGCCAAAAAGGCTGAGAAAATTTGGGATGTTCATTAGGGAGGCAGGACAAGGAGACGGGGAAGAAAAAAAAAATTTAAAAAAAAATGAAAAATTAAAAAGAGAAAACGGGAAAGAGAGAAGAAAAAAAAGAGCAGGGAAGGGGAAAAAAAAGGAGCAGGGAAGGAAAAAATCAAAAGTAGGGAAGGAAAAAATCAAAAGCAGGGAAGGAAAAAATCAAAAGCAGGGAAGGAAAAAATCAAAAGCAGGGAAGCACGTTTTGTTGGATGTTTCAGAGGGGCTGCACAGCTCAAGGATGGGTTTGGGGAGGTCTGAAAGGTCCAACAGATTAAAAAATAAAAAGGGTTTTAAGGAGGTGGTTTGGGAAGATGAAGCAAAACCGAGCTCCGGAGCAATTTGGAGAGAGGGAAGGAGGAAATGAGGCCAGAACTGAGAATTTGGAGGTGGCTGGGGGGGATTGAAGCTGGGGCAGAAGTGAGAATTCCCGATTTTGTCACCCAGGAAGAGGGATTCCCATGGCTGGTTCTCCAAAAGGAGAATCCAGGAGAAGGTGAAATCTGGAAAATATCAAACCCAGGGCGGGTCAGGTGTGAGCAGCTCCTGCCAGCACTCCTGGAAAATGGAAAGGTTGAAAGGGAAATTCCAAGATTTTCCAACCTGCTTGGATCATCCTCAGTTCCTCTGGAGGATCCAGGGAATCCTCAGAGCCCTTCCAGGGCCTGGAGGAGCTCCAGGAGAGCTGGGGAGGGGCTGGGGACATGGGATGGAGGGATGGGAGCCAGGGAATGGCTTCAGGGTGGGAAAGGGGAGATTTGGGTGGGATATTGGGAATTGGGAATTGTTCCTGGGAGGTGGGAAGGGGCTGGGCTGGAATTCCCAGAGCAGCTGGGGCTGCCCTGGATCCCTGGAAGTGCCCAAGGCCGGGCTGGACACTGGGGCTGGAGCACCTGGGACAGGGGAAAGTGTCCATGGGATGGGAATGGAATCTTTGGATGGGATGGGATCCATGGGATGGGATCCATTGGGATGGGATGGGATCCATGGAATCCATGGGATGGTATGGGATCCATGGGATGGTATAGGATCGATGGGATCCATGGGATGGTATGGGATCGATGGGATCCATGGGATGGGAATGGAATCCTTGGGATGGAATGGGATCCATGGAATGGGATGGGATGGGATCCATGGGCTTCATGGGATGGGCTCAATGGAATGGGATGGGAATGGGATCCATGGGATGGGAATGGAATCCATGGGATGGGAATGGAATCCATGGGCTCCATGGGATGGGCTCAATGGAATGGGATGGGATGGGAATGGAATCCATGGGATGGGCTCCATGAGATCCAAGGGATGGGATCAGATGGGATGGGAATGGAATCCACGGGACGGGAATGGAATCCACGGGACGGGAATGGAATCCACGGGACGGGAATGGAATCCACAGGAGAATGGAATCCACGGGATGGGAATGGAATCCACGGGACGGGAATGGAATCCACGGGATGGAAATGGAATCCACGGGATGGGAATGGAATCCACGAGACGGGAATGGAATCCACGGGATGGGAATGGAATCCACGGGATGGGAATGGAATCCACGGGATGGGAATGGAATCCACGGGACGGGAATGGAATCCACGGGATGGGAATGGAATCCACGGGATGGGATTTCAGGTCCTTCCCACCCAAACCATTCCAGGATTCCAGGATCCATGCCCGCCACGAGGCAGGAGACCCCTCCCTGTCCCTCCCTGCTCCCACACCTGGAGTCCCCTCCCAGCCAGACAATCCCAACGTTCCACAAAACCCAAATTCCCACGCTCCCCTCAAGCTGCTGCCCCTTTTCCAGAGGGAAGCTGCAGGAATCCCAGAGCCTCCTTGGGAGACCTCGTTAGCACGTGTGTGAGGAGGCTCCCGCTCTAATTGCCCAACTCAAACTTGAGAGAGTTGTAAGTAATGCAAGTGTGCAATGTTTAATTGGGAGCCTCACAGTGCGACTATTTGTGCAATATCAGTTAAGTGAGCAGAGTTTAATTTTTAATTATTTCAATTAATTTATTGCTGGGAGATTTACTTGGAGAATTTAAACCTTCTCAGTTCCGTCAATTAAGAGCCAGAGATTCAGAGCCTGGCTACTGAGATCTGAATGAATTATGTCATGCAGGAGGATTTTTTTTTTTTTTTAAACCATGGAGCTCAGAGAGATCCCTCCCAAAAAACCTCCCAAGCTGCCTGTGGGTTTTTGTCAGCTTGGAGATGACCTATTTTTTAAACTGCCTCAGCCCACAGAATTAACTCTCTCCCCGTCCAGGAGAATTCTTGAAGGGCTTGTGAATTTTTGGACAGCACTGAATGCCCAAATCTCAGATAACAACGTGTCCCACCGTGGTGACAAGGGCACTGCCCAGCCTGTCAGGCTGATTAATGACATTACAACAGCTTTAAAAAGCCCAATTTTCATAAGTATCCAAGCCTTCAGTTATTCATCTGCTTTGCTTGGAAAAAACCATCACCAACGAGTTCTTTAAATGTATTTCAATATGTACTCTGCAAACCTCGTTAGTCTAATTTACTCCAGGAAATTAGCTCTTTTCTGTGCCATAAATGCACTTTTCTCCACGCTCCCCACAATCATGAATTCCTCTCTCCAAATTAAGAGGTAAACAGGACGCTCTGTGCATCCCAAGCTCCCCAGAAGGTGCCAGGGAGCTCTTCCAGAACGTTTTTTGGGGTTTGCTCAGCGTTACCTCGTGGGTAGATCTGGAGAGGCTCTATCAGCTGCCCGTTCACCTGCTGCTCCATCACCGTGGAGAAATACTGCAAAAAAACCCAAAAAAAGGGGGGCTCAGTCACCCAGGAGGGCCGAAAGCACTTGTGGAGTCTGAAATTCCCGGTGGTTTCGTTCTCCCTGTCGTTGCCACGGTGCAAAATCAGCCCTCAGAT